AACAGCGCTTATGGACGAGCGTTCCACGTTATTGGCTCGCTGCCAGAAGTAGGTGTGGCGCCACGTATGAAAGACTGACCTTTAATATTCTTATTTTTTCAGTGAACTCATCGCATCATAATGTTTCTTTGTTGTTTTTGAGTTTGTTTTGCTTTTCAAATTCAAAATGATGCTATTTTCCTCCAACTTTTCGTGCACTTTGCAATACATACTTTTTGCAATACATTTCCAGTTGTACCCCTTTGTGCGCTCAGCTGACCCAATACAACCCTACGTCCGTACAAAGGGGACGTAGGGGTTCAAATGTTCATGCTTTTCTCGTCCGAAAACTTGGTTTCTCACTAAAGGGCGGCGCTTGGGAGGCGGAGTCACTGGAAAAAAGGAGGAACCACTGGATCTATTCTGCCTTATAGCGCCCCTCCCCTGCACTTTTTTTCCGCGAAAACGGTACAGGGTTGTTCGTCGCGGACCGCACCCCACACCATATTTTTACTTCGATACCTGATCGCAGACCGTTTCTTTAAAGCTGCGTGCACAACATGAACCTCGAATCTAATGCCGTTTAGAAAATATTCGCACTTTCAAACTGGTTTTCACTGATGCTCAACTGAAGCACCAAAAATTGATTCTCCGCTCAGTCGGGAATGAATATGTGATGTATATTTCTTCTCAGGGCAGCTTCTGAGATGAACGCTTGCCACTTATTTTCTAGCGACGTGGAATACCGATATAAATTGGGTTAAAGGCAGCGTCCGCGATCAACCAAAGTGAAAAAACCCTCCATTGAAAACGAACGCGGAGTCCGCAATCACAGCAGAAATCCCACTCTTGCGGCTTGAAATCGATTGGTTGACGAGGGCGGAGTCAACAGAGCCGGGCTGACGCCTCCTGTCCTGTTAATCCCGCCCCGACTGGTTGACAGTTATCAATGCTTGCTGGCATTGATATACGCTGAATTTCTAGAGTTCCGAGGCGGCGACGTGTATTGGAGAACTCACCAGAAGTTTGCGAAACTCGTCCACATGCCTTAAATTTCATAGGGTCTTATTTCACGCTCTTCCACACCTTTTTCCTACTTTTTTTTGATTAGTGCTTCATTGGCCACCTGTTCTAACAAATTTGACCCCTGAGACCTGCCAAAGTCCATCGCGGGCGCTGTCTTTAATATTCCACTTCTGAGGTACTACGGACACCACTTTTCCAACGCCAGGGAGTACGAATGCATATCGACTTCGCGTGAATTCAATAGAAGGATATTTCGCGAAAGCCAATGCGCAACCTAATGTGTGCTGATTTGACGCTTAGTGCTGAAGCATTCGTGCAAAGTTCGATTCATAATTCCTTGGCAAATGTCGTCAGGCTTTCGCAGGCAGTTCGGTAAGTTTGGTGCCCGACTCTATGAGCTAGTTAAAAGTCTGCGGTAAACCGATTACTTCCGCATGAACATCTTGAACAGCCAAACAAGAACGCGTTTCGGAAAACTGGAGGTGCTCAATCTTGAGATCTCTGAACTGCTCAGTTCGCTATCGCTTGCTTGCTATAGCTTTACTATAGGAGAGGTCGGCTCAAGCTAAAAAGGTCAACAGGTCAGCCTGGACATTTGCAATGAGATACACATCACTGTACTCATCTTACGGTGCACTTAGAATTGTCTTCAAAATTCGCAGAACGATTCTCTGAGCGGAGTTATGGAGGCTTTTCCTTTACTGTTTTTCTTCTTGCGGGCGCGCTGGCGCCGAAGCGTTGGCACATGTAGCGCGACTCACAGCGCTCTTCGCGCAAAACAGGTATCATATTCGTGTTCAGAGGGGGCCGCCCCGTCAAACAACTTCTAGGGACGTCACCGCAGCAAAAATCTGAGCTTCTGACTCAACTTCGAAAAAACGGGGTATGGATAGTCATGGCTGACTGATAGCCAACAGCGATACTATGACTAGCATACTGGTGATGACTGGTCTTCGAACTGAAATAACTCTTCAGTCATGTTTTTCGCAAACAACAGTACCTGGCTTACTTATTTGTGCCGTCTGCATCATTTTCTTGACTATCGGGAGGAAACCCTATTCCGCGAGACCAGTCATCGATGGTAGATCGAGCGCTCCAATCTGCTCGCTAATTTACCCATAGGAGTACACGTTCCTTTCCAAGTGAGGGCGAAAATATCCCAGACTTTATCCTAGCCGACACTTGTCCCCCAGGGGTAATTCACAACCGCTGAATCATGAGATATGAATGGTATTTGTTCATTTGCACAAACACCTTTATACACGTATTACGAGGCCGGCTTTACAAGCAGAAGCCACTATATTCAGCCACAATGAGTCTACACTTTCAAAAAAAAACTGATCGCAGGTTCCCTTATAAGGTAGTGCAGGCGAGCAGAGATGTTTTAGAAGCTTTGTCGGCTATGTTCTTGTGCGTAAATGCGAAAAAAAAGACCTGCCTCGGAACCTCCTACGACGTCTCGCCTAAGAAACCCGATCCCTACCCGTTGGGCTCTGCTACCACGTTTCACAACGACTCCATGCCATAAATGTGAAGACGCTTCCTCGTTTCCTCGCGATAGCATTTGAATTGACCATGCGGGACAAACCCCTCCATAACTCCCTACAGAGAATCGTTCTGCAAATTTTGAAGGCAGTTCTGATTTCATAGTCCCAAGATGCGTACAACGCGTGTGCCCAGCTCATTGGGAAATAGGCCCGACCGGCACTGACCTGATGACCTTCCCTGGTAAGTTCATAATCAAATAAAATTTTCACTACTTCATTTTATAATATAATGAGAAGTCCACTACTGTGTTGCTCCTCGAATTGTAAAGATGGCAAATTAATTGCCGAATCGAATTTCAGGCAAGGAAGAAAGGAATAATACAGGCTATTCGATGGCGGGTTTTACTTTCCTCGGAACTCTTATTGTAGGTGTTGTATGTGTTGCAATGGTACTCCTCATTGCTCCAACCTTACATATGTAAGAGGTCGTACAAGTGAAGTCGTGAAAATAGTGCCAGTTAAAGGTATGAGGCACAGTGATTTGCTCAGAAACAGTAGCAGGGATGCCAGCAGGAAAATGACGATGTGAAGCTAAGGCCAAAAATTTGCAGAGAAACCTTTGCTCTGCATGGCATTTTAGACGTGCTTCTTGGACGAGTTTCCCGCCGACATTGTGCCGACAACCACTTTCATAAATATGCACGTATGTATTCATATATCTGTGCACTAACGCTCTATATCAGTTGTTATCCATAAAAGAAGCGATAGGTGTCAGCATCGATGTGACTGTGAACGGGCGGTTGTGGTGGGCCGTTCTCGGCATGTGCCACCTTGGCTAGGCGCGTAACGTCTAACGTTACACATTATCTCTCGTTGCTAAGCCGTATTTACTCTAATTCAGTCTATTCGACTTATCGTGTCATTCGCTTTCAAGTAACACTTCATGATGGTATTAACAAAGGAGTCTTCTAGGTACTCTCGTACTCGATGCTAAGTATGTTTTTTCCTGAGATTCTAAGTACGTGTTTTCCTGAGGTAAACTTCTTTGTCAGTTCTAAGCATTCTGAGGAACTTATTGTCAGCTGTATGTTTCCTCTGTGTCAACTATATTTGAAAAAATTATTTATGAATTACCTATTCAGACTCTCATCAGAAACTGTCAGAATTTCAACTACTCAGCGTTCAAAACAAACTCTCGAAGAGAGCCCGTGAACTGATTAGATGCCAGACTTTGAACCTTGTAACTTTATAATTATTATCTATTCCGATAATTGCTCGTGAAGGCAAACTGGGAATAGATAATAATTATAAAGAACACAAATTCAGATAAAGACGAAGAACAGAGATTGCACAACATATGACAAGTTTTTGATAATTACCCTCACGCATCGATTATGAACGAGACTTCGCTACCAAAGAGAAAAAGAACACTCAGGAGCAAAGAAAAATAGGCAATCGACCGAAAGCTAGAGTCTCTCAAAAAAGACGATGGGACAAAAAAACTCCATCAAGCCTTCCGAAAAAGTAAGATGGTCCTTTCTCTGTGACAAATATTTCATCCCAGACGGGTCTGAACGCCAATAATCGTTCTTGTTTTTCTGTCATTCTCTCAACACTTTTTACCCCTCGCAATTTTTTCATTGTCAGAACCATAAAACAGGCGCTGATCAATTTCATTGACGGACTTCCCTTAATTTAACATTACCTATACACTCTTTGGCTTTTTTCAACCATTTTCTGCACACTTTTTTTAAATTATCATAGGAATATAGAGCTCACGCACTTCATTAACATTGTGCATTACATACATGAGGCGTTATGTCATACATCTGGAGTTACTCTAACCGGCGATACCTCCAGCGATATTCTTACGGATCTTCTGAGTGTTAGCTACTCCCTCAAAGAAGCTCACACCCTCGCACGCTCTCGTATTAGGGGCTTCGTACCTCCTGGAAGTCTCCAGTCCTTATTAGCGGAGCAAATTCGTGCGGATGGACGAAGAAATGATCGAGGTGAACGCTTGAACAACTGCTTACTATCCTTTGAGTGCTAGTGTCCCTATGTCGCTGGCGACATAACAAAAAACATCCGCGATTGCAAGCTATATTTTTACATATCTCCCATCACTTCTAGAGAATCATTCAAGCAACCGCGTGCTGCTCGTGAGAAAGCGACGCTCGGATCATTGTCCACCTCTGCACTATCAGGTTCGAGACAGGTGGTCATTACTCCATTTCACGGAACGGTCATGAGCCTTCCACTTTTGAATTTTCTTGAGTAAGTATTACTGGAAACACTGCTATCAGTAACTACTACATCACGAGCGTAGGAAACAGCCAGGATTGAAACAGCTGGCTTTTTGAGCCAATTCAATCGCATACGCTTATTATTCCTCATGACCGGACGGGCGCTTGCATGTAGAGCAGTACAGAAATTGTGGTAGAAATTTGACGTGCACACTTAAACAGAAAAGCGGGTAGGTTACAAGTTTTCTCAATTGTGTTGCGCTCATCGAGCAGAGCGATCGCTAGCAGTCGCTTTCGTGATCTGACAAGGTTTTCTGAGGCGTAGTGTAATAAGTATGTAGTTTCTATAGTCCCTCATGAACGCAACAACAATAACCGGGGAAAATATCGTAAACGATGACATTAGAAACCCCATCATGTAGCTTAGGACATTTGGGCTATTGGCCCCGGTGAAAAGAAGCAGATAAATTGCACAAATGGGGCCGTTGAGCAGCAGTGCCGGACACAGAGTCTGAAAAAAGATTCCATACATAAGTTCAGCGGAGGTACGAATATCACGAAGTGTCGAAAATGCTCTGTGATCTTCACACCAACCCTCCTCACGTGTTAGTCTTTTCAACTTATCTTTACTTATTTTTGCTTAAAGATCAGAGACCCAGCCGAATTTGCCAGTGTTCTGAAGATCAGGTAAGCCGGGCACGTCATGCGTTTCGAAGGACGACCGCTGGACCAGAGCAATCACCGACTGGATTCCACGGGATGTCAAGCGAACCGCCTACGCGATGGTCGGACTTCTTCGTGAAAGCTCTGAGCGGATGGTATGGAGATTATCGTGTCCCATTTGGCAGCTCCAGCCCGCTGCAGGGACGAACGGATAAGGATTACTGAGATCCGCTTGAGTACCTCGACGATCAACAGGAGCACAAGTGATACACGAGGCGATTTTTGCTCTCACGCAGACTGCGGGATGCAGAGTTTCACAACTTTACCAGAGCTCTTTGCGCTGGAAAAAGTGAGAGGCTTTTATGGCAATGGTTGGCTTCAAACTCTCTTCTGCACCTCCCGGATAGATCACTGGAGATGGGTAGCGACAGCTACCCTCTAACCAGACTTGTAACCTGAAAAACCACAGTCCAATTACGTGCCAGGACCACATAATTGCCAACCCTGACGAGATTTACTAACTAATATTCAAGCCCTTTACCACTTGTCTTTTTTTGGAGTAAATAGATAAAGGTAGTAGATGCTTCACGTTTGTTGATGCTAAGGCCTGTTTAGCTCTAAAAACATTGGCTACGTTGGGCGAGAAGGTCACACACGCGAGCGCTTAGCAATATCTTTCCCGGCGGTCTTCCAATAAAACGGACAACTACTTCTAGTGAGCTTCCTAAAACAGCGGACCTAAAAAATACGATCTGCGAACCTGTAAAATGAGCATCATGAGCATGTGTCGGTGAATCTTCTTTGTTTGGGGACTCATTGCATTCACTCTCAAGCAGCGGTCAATCTTCCAAGCACAGAGCGCTCCAATTGCACCAAGTGTCAATACAAGTAAGAAGGACTCAACAAGAAGTACAAATTTTGGTGTTGTTGTTAACTGAAAACAGTTTCGAATCAAATTGCATGGCATTTCCCTGAAGACGCTGAAGAAGTATACGTTATTAGATAGAATGACGGCAACTGTTATGAAAATCCGAAAACTATTCTGAGTAACGGTAAACATGACAAACCTCCATTGACAATCCAACAAATGCTTTCGGTGCAACATCCAGCCCGTAATTTTCCAACACGTAATTTCTTGCGTGTCGTCTTACAAGCGGTGTTGGATAACAAACAATGGAAAGCGTGGCGATCCAATTGAATATGATGGCTAGATTGATGGAAGCGATAACCATTGCCCATTTCAGTGATTGGTAGATGTATAAAAAACGAGCTCTGTAATCACTACATCACAAAAATGTTAGTGATCTTCCAAAGAATGGACTTTCCACAAACGGATTTCAAACTGAGACGTAGGATGGTATTAGGAAAATTTTAAGATATTTATTTTCTCATCCACAAGAACGTATTAATTCCCAAGGAGAATGGCACGTCAGAGACTTTTTTGTTCAGCATATGACTTGAATATATGTACCATAAGTTTCGCTTACTTGCATAGCTGGACATATCTGTAGATGAAATTGTTCATGGCTAATGTCAATGTTGAAATGGAAGTGACGCTGCACAGTGTCACAAGTATTTGTGCTAGAATCCCTTCGGACACCAGTCCAGTTGAAAGGTACACGAAGGTGAAATCCTCACTGATTGGCAGCTGAAATAGGTATTAAATGATTTATTGTTAAATGTGTGATTCGAAGATGAAATCTAGAAGATACGAGAGAAGTATGTACATTCGGAGAGGTACACGGATTGTCACACAATTCTATTATGTTGGACAGAAAGTCCTGCGACACTTTGATTGAATTGTTCTAGAAAAAGACCAAAAAACATTTCGAATGTTTTCATCCCTGATTAGTGGAGACTGTCCTCTGGGGTTTCTGCAAATGGGTATATCATGACTTTGTGGAAGTTTTCAAAGCTTAAAAGTCCCTCAGAGATCGAGGTACTTTTCGACCTATCCCATATTATGAGTTCCTGTAGGGCCACTCCGCCGTAGTCGAGGGAAGCTAACACTTACGTTGTCTTGAGGAAGGATGTCGCTTGCCATGGCAAAGGGAGGCTTTTGCCTTAGCGTTTCCAAGCTCGACTTACTGGAGGTAGGCAATGTATAGGCCAGCCACCAGCACAGAATGACGGCCCTTCTCAAGCTTCTTGAGGCGCAGCCGAACGTAACCACCAGTGTGTTGGCAACCTCTCTAGGCTCCACCTAACTGATAAGTCATGCTTCTCCGCAATCTCGGTTATCGGGAAAATTTTTTGTGAAGGATGCCTCATGAGTTGGACCCGTCTGACAAGTCATACCGAATGACCGTGACTGAGTTTTCTTTTCCTTGTACACAGCGAAAGAACTTTTGTGAGATCTTGTGGTTGGTAGCGAGTGGTGGAGTCCTTGCGTACATCATGCACATGTCCCTCGCAGGATCTCTCAAACAGAAAAGTAGATTGCTCAGCCAAAAGCAGATGTGCATGGGATAAAGATTTCAGTAGGTTATTGGTGGGACTTCAAAGCGGTATCTCTGGATACTAGCATAACGGTAAGGACTACAGTCCACTC